ACTCGTGAGGAATGCCATCGAAAGGGACCGACAGATGGCTCGAAAGGATAACGCAGAGGAGGCGACCGTCTTTCAGATGAGCGGAACCACTGTCGAGGCGTTCAGAAAACTCCTCATTTACATCTACACCGGAACCGTTGAGTGCGATCTCATGGTTGGCATCGATTTGGGGACAACGGCTAACAAACTCAAGTTCCACCCATTGGTCGCCTCTTTGGCCCAACACCTCAACGTCCATAAGAACCTCTGTCTCAGCGCACAGACCGTCGATGACTTGTATCAGATCGCGAAGAGCGCCGGCAATAAGGATCTGCTGAAGACGTGCGCAAAATTCATGGACGAGAATCCATACGATGTGAGCGGCGGTGCCCTTAAGCGAGACGTCCAGAGCTCTGATCCGAATAAAGTGCTCATCTATTTGTTAGACAAGAATCGCGTCAATAATTACATTCACTTTCTTTTGCCCGAAACGACCGAAATCTGCTTCACTGTTGACGTGTCCTCCGATCGAACCAATTGGACAGTTGTGCTGAAGAACAACGAGATTTGGTCCAAGTTTTGGAATTGGGTTTACTTCGAGGAGCGACGCATCCGTTACATCCGATTCGTGTTGACCGACACCACAGCCGACCGACCATTCAATATACGGAACATCAAAGACGAACACATCCGCGTCAAACGGGCCAACGTTGACCTCGAGTTCGACAAACTCACCAAATACTTGATCCCAAAACACGATATCATCAAATTCCCCATTCGGGACACGAAATACGTGTTCGACCACAAGAACAACACGTATACGTACTGCACATCCGTTGCCGCCAACAGAGACAAAGAGAAGCACTACTACTACCATAACATAGGCGACGGACACTTCCTCGAGTTCTTTCTCTCCCAGACGTGTCTCATCGACTCGTTTCGGCTCCGTTTGTGGGACATCGACAGCAGACACTACGACTTCCAGGTGGAGGTCAAGAACGAAGAAGAAGAGGAGTACACTGTCGTCAAAGACAACACGTCTCCTATATTTAAGTACAAGTCTTCATGGGTTACGGTCCACATGAGAGACCGGCGAGCGATCCGATGGGTTAAGATCACTGGCCTCAGAGGCCCGACCAATGACCCGGAGTTCGCTATCATTGACTTTGAATGTCCTGTTGTCCCGAAGAGCAAACACTAACAACATTTTGATTT